AAACTATAAACAAAACAATTTTTTTGAAAAATGGCCAAAAGCATATTAAAGGCTTTTTTCAGACTTTAAAATGCTTTTTACTTTTTTTTATCTGTGATGATTTTTCATGAAGTTTGGATAAAGATTGTGTAATTTTGAAGTGTTTTCTTGTTGAATAGTTGAATAGTATTATTCTCTAAAAATGAATCAGCTTCAGTGCTTTTTATAACTGATGTAATTATCAACAAATACTGTTTTTCAAGAAGCTAGAGCAAAATGCTTAAAAAAAATAGTGTAATAGATCTCGTTACAGTATAGAAGTCGTAATTAATTTATAATTATTATTTTCTCTATTACACTATTTTCCATAAGAATATTTAAATGTATAGAAGGTATTATGTTAGAATTATTTTTCATTAGTTAGATTAGAATTATGTATCATTTTTTTTATTTATTAGACATCACACATGCGAGTTTTGCGCGTAGTTTACCTTTTTATTTCTTTACTTTTTAAAATAAACTTTATTGATAAATTTCTATAATATAAATTGTTATTTGCTAACTCTGCTATGATAGTCGCGAAATAAGCGCAAAGAGAGATTAGAAAAGCGATAAAAATTTATTGGCACGCGAAAAAAATAATTTACTTTTTCACAATGCGTGATTTCCCGTAAGAGAAACGTAGCGAACTGTGAGAGGCGAAGGGATATGAAACAGGCACTCTGATTTGTAAAAACGAGGAAACTCTATAAAATTCTATAAGCTCTATAAAACAAGTACTCCGATTTGTGAAAAGAAAGCGGACTCACATAAAACAAGCAAAGAAATCTTAAGAAATCTAAATCCAAAGAAATCTAAAATCGCACTATAATCTTCATATGGGCTCTGATAAACGAACCTATAGGCTAACTACAAGCGTGCAGAATGTTGGATCTGCCATTTTGAATTTTGTAATTTTGAATACAAATTCGTTTTCAGCGAGCCAAAAAACTTAAAGATAGAAGTTAATATTAATATATGACTACTTTTTGCATTTTGGTCCGTCATATGGTTTCGCCAGTTTAAATTTTCAAAATTTGAAATCGGATTCGAAATCAGCGACCTCAAAAATATCCTAATAACATATTCCATCGATTGAAATAAAAACTTTATGTATTTTGGCAACTTTTTCAGCAAATTTATTCCACTGCACGTTGACTCGAATAATCTATTATTTTAATATCAATTTGAATTTTATAATCTTGATATTCAATTTTTATTTTTTAATATTAGAACAAAATATTAATTCAATTTAGGATTCACATTTAAAATTTCCTTGGTCTTAATTCCCTGGTCTCTTTCTTGTCAAAAAATTTAAGAAATATTAAGAAATTGAAAGATTTACCCATATATATATATATATATA